CTTTCTCCTCAATAAAACATCTCCAGAGTGAATATACTTATCATAACACGTTTTAATTATCTGTTATATCTTCTCCTTTCCTCCACTGAGAGCATCTTACCATGCCTTAACACTTAGGTGGCACACAAATGTATGAAGAACTTAGCTGACATCACAGAAATTTATTCTCGGTCTGTACTTCAGTCCAACTAATCCTGGCAAAAAGTTGAACATATTTGGGGAAAAAAAACTACAGTTTTGTAGAAATCTAAAAACTTTTCTTAGTATCAGTCACATACTAATAAGTGAAAAGAAGTAAATAAATTACTTTTCTTACTATTCCTCATTCAAAAACAGAAATACCTAAAAATAAAACAAATATTATTTTAGTAAATATTTAAATAGAATATTTGCGAATACTTGTAGCACCTAAAATTCAATTTCTAAAGATGGTAAGAAAAGAAAAGTTAAAAAGGTATCCCCCATGTGGGAATAGAGAAAAACAAGGATGGGAATGGCTTCATCCTTTAAATTTAAGATGTTGTTAGCTGCCATCAAGTACATTCTGACTCTCAGAGACCTTATATATAACAGAATGAAATGTTACCTAGTCCTACGCCATCTTCATGATCATTAACGTTTAAGTCCATTGTTGCAGCTATTTATTTACTTAGGACAGTACAGGTAAACTGATCATTTTGCAGATGTTAGAGATTTGGATATAGCTATTCAAAACCATGTGGATTACTACTGATTCTAACTTTAGATAAGTAGGAGAAATCCCTGCTACAAGTGGGAACTAGGTCTCTCTCTACTCATCAAGGGCAGATTCTCAAAGATGAATGTCTCAGAATTAAAAACGGCTTTCAAGTGTTTATTTTATAAACACAGGAACCACCATATTTGTACCATCAAAAAAATTTTAACCACTGATTAATTTTAAATACTCCTTTTTTTTTTTTTTAACTGTGTTTAGATGAAGGTTTACAGAGCAGTTTCTCATTAAACAATTAACATACATATTGTTTTGTGACATTCGTTGCCAGCCCGACGACGTGTCAACACTCTCCCCTTCTGGACCTTGGGTTCCCCATTACCAGCTTTCCTGTCCTCTCCTGCCTTCTCGTTCTTGCCCCTGGGCTGGTGTGCCCATTTAGTCTCATTATGTTTTATGGGCCTGTCTAATATTTGGCTGAAGGGTGAACCTCAGGAGTAACTTCAGTACTGAGTTAAAAGGGTGTCCAGGGGCCATACTCGCGGGGTTTCGCCAGTCTCTGTCAGACTAGTAAGTCTGGTCTTTTTTTGTGAGTTAGAATTTTGTTCTACATTTTTCTCCAGCTCTGTCTGGGACCCTCTATTGTGATCCCTGTCAGAGCAGTCGGTGGTGGTAGCTGGGCTCCATCTAGTTGTGCTGGACTCAGTCTGGTGGAGGCTGTGGTAGTTGTGGTCCATTAGTCCTTTGGACTAATCTTTCCCTTGTGTCTTTGGTTTTCTTCATTCTCCCTTGCTCTAGACAGGGTGGGACCAGTGGAGTAACTTAGATGGCCGCTCACAAGCTTTTAAGACCTCATATTCCTTATTTTTTTAATCTTAGGGAAAGATCAGCTGGTCCATCTGAAAACAGTACTCTATATTGTACAGTAATATTTATACAAAGAAACTGTGCATTCTGTACTAAGTGGAGAGAAATTTTGCTCACTGCTGATAAGAGAGAACAAGCAAACACCATTCCATACAACCACCAAACAGTATCTTTAAAAGTTTTTTAAGGTCAAATAATGGCTCACTGACCTTTTCAGTCTTAAAAAAGTCAAGAGCGAGCCCAGGAAGTATTAGCTCATCTGTGATTTTTCTTCTGTGATGATTTTTCAGTCTTTTTTTTTTTATGCAATGTATTTTATTTAAGACTATAAATCCCTTAAGGAACTTTACATTATTGACACATATTGTCCTTATTATTGTGTTGTTGGTCATTATTTACCTCAAAGAATGTATCTCCTGTCTGTATGATATATTCCCCTTCCCCATGAATATAAACTGTTGAGTTAGCACTATAATAGCTAGTCTCATAAACTAGTTCAATGGGCATTTAAAAGACCTGGACAAAGCAAAGCCTTCTAGCAATAATCTAATTGAACTGTTTAGCTATTACTAACCATTGCTGAATTACCTACTGCTTCCTTTCTCTCAAGGTCCCTGAGTGGCACAAATGGTTTCCATTCAACTACTAATGTAAAGGTTGGTGGTTTGAACCCACCCAGTGGCACCCTGGAAGAAAGGCTTGGTGATCATAAAGATTATAGCCAAGAAAACCCTATGGAAAAGTTCTACTCTGTAACACATGGGGTTGCTTTGAGTCAGAATCGACTTGGTGGCAATGAGTTTTGTTTTCCTTCCTCTCAAGAAAGTCCTGCTCCACTGACCAAATTATCAGGTAACTGCTAGAAAGGTCTTCTTAGCAGTCAGTACTGTCTATTACACTGTCCCCCTGAGCTGCTTTCAGAATCACCATTCCACTGGAATTGCTAGGCTGAGAACATTTTGTTTATTTTCTCCCTTACTCTTATATAAGAACTATTATCCTGACAAACTTACCTAAAAGAGAACACAACTATAATCAACTCTCACATCAAGCAAGTGCATAAAGAGCACATTTAAGATTTAAAGATATTTCTAGAAAGCAAAAGTCATTAGAGTAAGCCATGAATTAAGTACCCATAGTTTCAACTTTATACTTTTAACTCTCCAAAAATAAATATACGAGGGCTGTGATCAGTTCAAAGGTGACAAACTATTAAACAACTACATACAGTTAAACTATAATACAAACTGCCATCAAGTCTATTCTGACTCATAGTGACCCTGCAGGACAGGGCAGAACTGCCCCATAGGGTTTCCAAGGCTGTAATCTTTATGGAAGCAGACTGCCACATCTTTCTCCGGTGGAGCACTGGGTGGGTTTGAACTACAGACTTTTCAGCTAGCAGCCAAGCACTTAGTCACTGAGCCACCAGGGCTCCTTTAAAAACAGGGTCTGATAAGATAACTCTCTATACTCAATGAGTTCTATTAGAATGTGAAATACCCTAAGGGAGGAGATATTTTCCTGCATTCAAAACTTTTAGAACAAGATGGGTTATCTCTGGTAATATACAAGTTAAAGAATATTTTGGCAGCGGTGAAGAGGAGTTGGCTGGGATGTGGAGAGATACCTTAAAATCTTTTTGGTATTGATATTTAAAACCATGTACACATACTATTTTTATAAGAAATTTAAAACTAGTATTGAAAAAACGAATTTCATGGCATTTACTGACTACCAGTAATCAGTTGTAACTTCATAGATTCTACGGACTGAGTGAAATAAATAAAACATAATCCTAAAACTGTAGGAAACGTCTGGAATATTTTAAAAATTCAAAGGTATTCTTAATATTTTTAAGACTATTAAAAATATCATACTTATATTCCAACTATAATTGTAAAGGGATACTTTCTAAATAGCAATTTTCTAAATGAAATCTGGGGACAGACTTTGAATCAAACTTTCCTATACCCCACATAGATGGACCTAGATATAGTCTGGCCTTAGCTCTATCAGCCTTTTTTATTAAGATCTACATACATGATTTGACAATAATGATGTTTACAATCTGTTGAACGTAAAAAAGTTACAAAACAAAATGAAAAGCTGTTTTCAAAGGGTCTTCAGAGAACATGTGGGAGATTATGATTTCTTCCCAATTAGAAGTCTTTTACTCAAATATTCTTTTCCAGTTTTACTTGGCACAAAATTTAACCACTCAGTTACGTAAGAGAACTTCTGTTGTAGAACACTGTCTTAGTCATCCAGTGCTGCTATAACAAAAATACCACAAGTGGATGGCTTAAACAAAGAAAAATTTATTCTCTCATTCTAGTAGGTTACAAGTCCAAATTCAGGGCGTCAGATCCAGGGGAAGGCTTTCTCTATCGACTGAGGGAGGAAGATCCTTGTCATCAGTCTTCCCTTGGTCTGGGAGCATCTCAGTGCAGGAACGTCAGGTCCAAAGGATGTGCTCTGCTCCAAGCACTGCTTCCGTGGTGGTATGAGGTCCCGTCTCTCTGCTCACTTCTCTCTTTTATATCTCAAGAGACTGCCTCAGGACACACTCCCATCTTGTAGATAAGAGTCCTGCCTTACTAACACAACTGCCACCCATCCTCCCTCATTAACATCGTAGAGGCAGGATTTACAACATATAGGAAAATCACACAATACCAGGAATCATGGCCCAGCCAAATTGATAGACACATTTTTTTGGGGACATAATTCAATCCATGAAAACACATAGCACCTCTTCTCCATAGCAGGCGCCAGTTATTTGCAAGGATTACTTAAACTGTTGATTATATGCAATAAAGGAGCCCTTGTGGCGCAGTGGTTACGGCTCAGCTGCTAAACAAAAGGTCAGTGGTTCGAACCCACCAGGTGCAGAAGATGTAGCAGTCTGCTTCCGTGAAGATTACACACGGCCCTGGAAACCCTATTGGGCAGTTCTCCTCTGTCCTACAGAGTTGCTATGAGTCAAAATTGACTCGACAGCAAGAGGTTTGGTTTTTTAATATGCAATAAAGTAAGGATGCAAAGGTCTTAAAGACTCAGCCTCCCACAACACCATCTCCGTACTGTAATTAAGATCAGTTTCTGGAATTCTTCTAAGGGTCCCCTGACTGGGATCTCAGGAAACCAGTGTTAGACTGTCTTCAATACAGGCCCTCATTTCTCAGTTCCTATCCTCTCACAACTCACTCCATCCTCCGCCCCCCAAAAAAAGTTATAAAAAAAAAAAAAAAAAAACTGCTGGAGCTAGTAAGTGATTATAGCAAAGTCCCAGGATTCAAAAAAAAAAAAAAAAAAGGCAAGAGTGTTTACCTTTAGGCCAGAAGGCACTGCCTATCTCTCAGACCTGCCTGCCATTTCCTGATAAACTGAGTCACGTTAAAAAGAAAATTTTAATAAGAGTTAATTCACAATTTACATTTTTGTGACCTTACAGTTTTAAATGAATATCCAAAAACCTTTGGGTAATTATATTTGTAACTTATGGTTAAATAAATTACAATAAATATGTACAAGGCTTACGCAAAAATCGGAGGTAATCTATGAAAGGTTATTACTTTTTAATTCCCTGCACTAAGACTGGGAGGTAGTGACAGAATTTTTTTTTTTTTTAATATTTTACAGAGTTCTAGTTTATGCTGTTTCATGGATTCACTAGATCCTTCTAATCCTTTTTTTTTTTTTTCCGGTGTTCCCATCTATGTGATGGCCTACCAGTAATCTTAACAACAAGTGCATACTGCTCTATCTCAATCCCAATTAAAAATTATTAATGTATTTTTAACATCATGTATTTTCATTGTTTTGCAAAGTATTTTATGGAACACAAGGAATCTTGTAACTTTTCTCTCTTCCCTCTCCCTGGCAAGTTTTAAATCCTAACGACTCCTCTTCTAGAACTCTAGAATGAATTCCATTCCACCTCCAGAAGGACACCTAGTTTACTTATTTGACCTACAGAAAAATTTCTCTCCAACTATTTCAAAGGCTAGTAGAAAACTCCACCCAGATAGCCTACACAATCCCTCCTTCTAACCATCTTCACTGTCCTCTCCTCACTCTACATTCCATATGCATTTAAATTTCTTGTCATCACCTCCAAGACTCCACTTGCCTGCATCTGCTTTCATGTCCTCCTACCACCCCAATTCCTGCCAAAAAGACCCGCTTGCTGCCTGTTGCATAACTGCTCCCCCATTACCGTCTCCCTGGATCGCTAGCCCGCTCCTGCAAGCAGAAATGCCCCTTCATGCCCAATCCCTCCTCCCTTCCGCATCGCGCTCAGCGATTCCCCGGGATTAAGCTCCTCAATGGTTTTTCTCCCTAGACGAGGCGGGTCGTCTTTCCTCGCCGACACCTACCGAGCGAGAAGCCGGGTGGTAACTTCGGTAGTGAACCCCGAGAGCAGAGTCTACCCTCTCCGCCGGGCGCAGGCCAAACCACACCGCAGCGCGGGGCCAATCACCTCCGCCATCCTCCCGCTGGGGTGATGTCTTCAGGTGTCCGGGGAGAAAGCCCTGCGTACTTCCAGACCCGCTCTCGGGCCAGGAGCGAGGCGGCCCTCGGAACTGAGCCCCGAGCGCGGTCAAGGGAGGCAGAGGCGGGCCCGGGACCCCAAAGGGGCCGGGTGGGCGGTGGCGGCCCGGTGGACACCCGACCCGAGGCGTGGGCCTGAGAGGCGGGGGCCTGCGAGGCGGGTGGCGTGCGGCCAGGGATGGACAGCGCTGGGGACCAAGGCGGCGAAGGCCTCGGCGGGGGCGCGGCGCGGCGGCCTCGGCGGAGGCCACGGCGCCCCCAACCGGGCTGAGGGCGGCCGAGCCGCGAAGCTGACGGAATGACGCGGGCGGGGGTGGCCGACTGCTTCGGCCATCGCGCCGGGCGGAGGCGGCCTCTTCCTTCCCTCACTCCCACCTCAGCCCGCCCGCCTGACCGCCCGCCCGCCTCACCTTCAGGACCCGGATTCCTCCCGGCCGGCGGCTCACAAGCACTTCGGGCGCCTCCGGGGGCTCCAGCGGGCCCACAGGGCCCAGCTCCACCTCCCCCATCAGTGGCGGAGGCTGCATTGACACGCCCGGCCGGCGCTACCGCGCGCGGAGCCTCAACGGCGCGCAAGAACAGCCAGAGGCCCCGCCCTCCGCGGGCCGCCCCAGGGCCCGCCCCAGGGCCCGCCCCAGGGCCCGCCCCTCCCACAGACCCGCTGAACTTGCGTAGGTGCTGGCCCCGCTTCGTCCCGGCGCCGCGAAGCCGCATCCTGGCCGGCCGGCGGAGGACGGCGCCACCGCAGGTTTGGGACTCTGCTGCGGGCCGCCCTGGGTTTGGAGGACTGAGGCGCAGAAAGGGTTATTTACTGCTATCCCCGCCGTCTAAGTGCCTGCACTTGTCAATTGTGACTGGACGCTGCAGTCCGCCGAGGGTGGCTCTTGTAAGTTAGCACTCTAAAACGTTTCCTCTCTACTTCAGAACTGGCCTGTCACCCTCACTTGAAAAGCCCTTGGAAGAACTTTTGAAAATACCTTAACAAGGCCCTTTCTCTTCCTTATTAGAGATGCTTACGACCTTCGTCAGTAAATTCGACCCAAAATGTGTCCACTCATCTTCCAGCAATATCTAAATTCTCTTTCCTCTTCTTGTAGCAAAATTACCAGAAGTCTGCTCTCAGCCTCAAACAGTAATACAGTCTGTGAACCATTGATTATTTGCAAGGCTAATTCAGAAAATCTTTAAAAGTTAATTTATCGTTTTCTTTCAGTTCCCACAGTGGTGATAGTTTTGTGGCCAATGGGCCAAATGTGGAATCAGCCTGCTTTCAGATCTCAGCTCTACCATTTATTTGAACTATACCTTTGTGTAAGTTACTTATTCTAAGTTTCTGGTTCTTAAGCTGTGAAATACAGATGAATATCTGCTTGATACTTACTATGAAGACTTAATGAATAACGCTTACAAAGCACTTTATACTAGGAATTTACAGTAGCCATTCTAATTCTGAATTTCCAAATTTAAGATTCACTAAATTTCTCTTCTTGTTCCTTTGAAATTTTTCTAGGATGTCTCATGGAATCCAGACTTTCAGGAGCCACGGAGGCTGGATGAACCCCCAAAACTATTGCCCTGAGATAATCTTTAAACCAAAAATATCCCCTGAAATCTTCTTAAAACCAAACAATAGTTTAACTAGTAATGAATGTCTGCCTTAAGCATTATGGTCTTTTAAGATGTATCTTTATGGGATCAAATTGAAACCAACTCGAAAGTTTAGATGGGAGCCTTAGAGGGCCATGAGTTTATGTTAACCAAGGAACAACTCAGAAGGGGTGAGACTGGTTGCACAATTTGAAGAATGTAATCGATATCACTTTATTGTACATGTAAAAGTGCTGATTGGCAAAGATGGCATTACCTATTATCAGTTGCTTCAGCTTGCCTAGTCCAGGCCAACTATTTAAAATATTTTAATTGTAAGCTTAGTACAACAAAGGTTGAGATCTAACAGTGCAGTGTTTCCCTCTGTACTGTGAGATTATTTGGAGATATTTTAAATTCCAAGACAAAATTTGGCTCTTGCAAAGACTCTGGCCCTGTACCCATTATTGCTTCTGTAAAAGAAAAAGGATGGTGACTAATTTCTCCGTTCATTTTGAATATGCCAAAATTAAAATCACCATTAAGCTTCATTTATTTTGTCTCATTTTAATTAATTAAAATTTGTCTCTGAGAGCCTGGTGAAGAAAGTCCTGGATTGTCCACTTGCTGGGTATTTTCTTTCTACTGTTAACTTGCTTTCAAGAAGGCTACTCAAACTAGCCATATACCCCTTTCAGTGCTTAATTCTTCCAGCAAGCACACTGGTTTATACGGAATAAGCACAGAAGTAATTTGACCAAGGCAGACAGGCAATGGGTAGAATAAAAATGTGTTCAGAATAAATGTTTATAGAAGCCTGTTTCTTGCGGTATAGTTACGTATTACCTTTTCCACATCTCATGGGCACAAACTCTTTACTGCTTGGTCACTTGAAGGGAAAAGATCTTGTCACAGGACCAGAGTTAGAATTCATGCTGGGAATAGCACTGGTAGATGGTTGGGGTTTTTGCTCTGTCTTGTTGTTTTCTAATTAATGGGAGAGTGAGCTAAAGCATCAATTCAAAATAGTACCTCTTCCAAAAGGGGGTGTGGGGGTTGGAAGCCACCAGCAAGATGTTTCAGAGGATAATGTATAATGCCACTCCCTTTAAAGGTCCCCATGATTTAAGATTCAAATTTCCAATTCAGTGGTGACAACTAGTTGATTCTGAGTTTTCTTTTTCAAATCATGTACTACCATAAACATTTCATACTTTGTTGCAAAGGTCACATATTCATGCTGTCTTTCAGTTCAAGGCAGTGTGCATTATGAGTGCCAAGGGTTATGTAACTACAATTTCTGGAAATGGTAAACAGCTGAGACTAACCCTAAAAATAAATTCCTCTGGGATTTTTTGGTGCAAATATCCATCTACCCTTAACTGCAGGTTCATCATTACAAAAATCAGTTTGGATCAAGCCGAAAAGCAGAAGCAGAACAGTCATTAGAAGTCCTCCCTGCTCTGTGTCCTTCCTACAGCACACTCTCGTCACCTCGGGACACACACACACACACACACACACACACACACACTCTCTCTCTCTCTCTCTCTCCCCCTCCCTCCCTCTCAGGAGCTTTTCCTAATCTTCACTGCAAAATGGGAAGAAAGTCTGGAGAAAGAAAGTTCTTGTCTATCAGATTTTGATACATACTTTGGTAGATAACTTACTACAATCAGTTATATCTAGCGCCCACTCTTTTTATGATCATAAAGTCGTCTTTAGCCTAAATTCCTTATTATAGCACAGGTTGAACAAATTTAGATATTCTTATTTTAGTTCCAAATAAACAGGCAATGTTTGCCTGGCTTCAGGGTTTGAAGAACATTTTTATCTTATGAACATTTCTGTATTTTTCAAATACAGGGACAACTGAACTGTGGAAAACTCTGTAATAGAAATGAATTTGGTCCTTCAGGATTGAAGTTCAAATCTGAATATTATTCATTGCATTGTTGAGTAAATTTCTGGAGTCCATTACTGACTAGGCTTTTCTACTGTAGCTTTTTGTATTTTCATCTGATTACATCATGTAGATAAAGGTATCAACTAAGTTTAATATTAAAAACAAGGATGGATTTTAACTAAATTGTATACTAGGAAAGATTACAGAAATACTGCTTATCAAACAGTTCCAAAGGGCACTTCTGTATAAACTAGTAATTGCCAAGGCCTACACCTTTCCCATTCTCAATCAGGGGACTGTCAGGGATCATCAGAGTAATAGAAAACCTGAAGCTTCCAACCTCCACCTACTCTCACTTCTACAGGGAAGAGTTCATATAAAATAGAGCATAAAATAAAAACTCATTTTGGCTGGTCAGGCCTTCCTCTTCCCAGTCGCAGATATACCTGAACAATTCACAAATAGAAGCTTACAACTAAAACCCATGACTACCCCTAATACATATTTCACCTTGATATGATTTTTTTCTTTACCTTGTTGGAGAGTTCACATATGTGGAGAAGATAAGCATGTAAATAATCATGTTATAGTTGAAATTTCCAATTGAACTTAAGACTTTTTCATTATTAATACCTACTAGTTATAAAATTGTTCAAACTCCTCTCTTGGTGAGATATCTGCTTGTAAAAGAAACATTATCAGGTCAGTAAGTTTAGCTCAAAGCTCTGGAATAAGAATTCATCCAAGGCTTCTAATCTACTTGAAGCAAGGAAGCAGATTTTAAATCATTGAGTATTGACTTTATTATTAGTCACTGTTCATAATTTGTTTCAACCAAAAGACAATACACACAGTAGAATTCTAATGCATCCCATGTAAATGTTTACATCCATTTTATTCCTCACTCGCCTCTAAGACTTATCATTTAATTTTAAATTTTTTTTACGTCTCAAAAATATGTCTGCAATAATTAGAACTTCATTAGCCGTCCCACTTAGAAACAGCCTTTTAATATTTTTACAGTAAAGAAGATGTGATGGGGCTTAATGAAAATGTAACTTACAATATAAAAGAAAAGGAACTTTACCAGAACACAGTGAGAGTTCAGAAGGAAAGAATTCAGAAGCTCTTTCCCATGAGGCCCCCAAACAGAAAACACACACACACACACACACACACACACACACACAAAGCTCAACAGCAGGCTCTTAAAAAAAAAAAAAAGAACAAAAAAACAAACAAAAATACACCTCCAATGCTCCATCTTAAAGCCAGGATCAGCCTTGCAGTAGTTTGTGAAGCAGCTGTGCAAGCCGCTTCAACATTTTTTTCTGTTTGGATTCCAGGTTCTGGAACCCTTTAGATGGAACTAACTTACTGCTATTGCTTGAAAAGAGTTATCCAGTTCTAGAAGCAGCCCCATCCTCCCGAGCAAAAGCTGGTCAAAAGTGTTTTAAACTTCAGGACTTTCTGAGCAATTCTCTCTTCAGTGATTCTCCCCACTCCCAAACTCGTGAGTACACGGACATGTGCAACCTCTGCACAACCACAAAGTTCTTGAATATCCATTTTTTGTTCTCTAGATCTCTGTTTAGGGCAACGGGGTTAAAATACATTCACAAGGAAAAATAAACACAATCAAACTCTTTCTTTCCCCTAGTTCTCATGGCCCAAATATTTTCCAATGTGCAAGATAATGAAGGTGAACCTCAAAAACAGTACTCCCTAACTTCCAACCTCTTCTAAAAGGACAAAAAATGGAAAGCATATTGTATAATAGATGGAAATATTCAAACCGTTAGTGCTGAACAATTTTAAAAGTATTTTCATAAATTAATGGAACAAGGGATACGAACCACAACTTTAACCTAGCAAGAGGAAAGACTCCCTTCCCAAATAGTACATTGAGGAATATTTTTTTTAACAGATGATCACTATACACAACATAAAACATTCCATGACTGTGCAAACCACCTCAAGGTAACAGCACCGGAACACTGTGGGAGAAGCTCTAGGGGAGAGCACTCTTCCTACAGTTTTTTAAAATTACTTGGATGAATTCTCCTTTAGGATTGCAAAAGGGTTGGGTGGGAAGGAGGCAATAGGATACAAACTACTCTGGAAGAGGGAAACAATGAGGTAAAGTGCATATGAAAGTGTTGAAGTAAGTGTGTATGCAGGCTCACTGCTTATCACCCTGGGTTATTAAAACAGCCATGGAAATCACTCTCTCCTCACAATGACTCTGAAGTTGTAACTGTATCCATGTTTGCGCCTGTGAATGGTTATACTAGAGATATTACTGAAATGTGCAAGTGTTCACTTGCATCCCTGTGAATGGTTGTACTAGAAATTACTGAAATGTGCAAGTGTTCACTTGCGCCCCTGTGAATGGTTATACTCAAGAAAAAATTACTGAAATGTGCAAGTGTTCACAGCAATTAAAAGAGATTTAACCTTTGAGCTGCAAGGCCAAGTGAGAAGAGAACTAATTCTGATCCTAGAAACTAAGGCACACTGAAGCTTTCAAAGACCCAATCATTTGAAACAGTCTTCACAACCATCAGTATCCTAGGCAGTTATTTGGCTGCTAGTCCTTCAGTATGGTGCTCAGGTTCAGTCTCTGAAATCAATTAATGTTCTAAGCAGCACCCTTTGTGTTAAGGCCATATTTTATTTCTTCTAGACAAAGCTATGGATGATCATATAATTCTACCTCAAAACTTCGATCAACCCAGGAGATGCTTTGTCAGTAAAGTAGATCCTTTCCAGCTCCATTAGCCAGCACTGACTTATAGCATGTTCTTCAGATTTCTTCAGAGATTCAACTCAGTTCAATTAAAAAGCCTGAGCCAGTTAACTACAAACTATGAGAGAGAAAATAAAGCCTCTACCACAAAGAGGAATGTTAAGACAAAATTCTATTCAAGAAATCCACCAATATTATGTTAATCCTGTAATGTTTCACAGCATTAAGTATCCATCCAATGAAATCAGCCTGAAAAGAAACCTTTAAAGGCTATTTTTCATTGCACAGGCAGAGCAGCTGTCTTAAAGATGCACTAGTCTACACTTA